AAATTGTCTAAAGAGTGGCTGTGGGTGGTGGCATTCTACTTTGATCCCAGCACTGGGGAGGCAGAGGCAGGTGCAGGCAGATCTCTGAGTTTGAGGCCAGCCTGAACTGCAAAGCAAGTTCCAGGACAGCCAAGGCTGTTATGTAGAGAAACCCTCTCTCCCCCTCCACCCCCTCTCGCACACACATACACACACTTAGCCAAAGTGGTTGCTGGGAAGTCCTCTAGAGCCCAAATCTTACCACCCTGCTTCCTTACTCATGGAGGGTTTTTTGTTGTTGTTGTTGTTTGTTTTTGTTTTTGTTTTTGTTTTCCTTTGGTTTTTTGAGACAGGGTTTCTCTGTGGCTTTGGAGCCTGTCCTGGCACTCGCCCTGGAGACCAGGCTGGCCTGGAACTCACAGAGATCCGCCTGCCTCTGCCTCCCGAGTGCTGGGATTAAAGGCGTGTGGCACCAACGCCCGCCCGGCACCCATGGAGTTTTCTTACCCTGGTTATTGTTAATGATGAGAGCAGCTGCCATTCCTGGACAGGTGACTCGCAGTGATTACCTGCCATTAGGTAGCAGCTCCAGGGAGGCCATTCTCACCCATTTTACACCTGGGGAAACAAAGCCTCAGGACTGCCCTTCATCACCCAGCTGTAGGTGGAAGGGCTCGGCCTCATACCCACACTGCTTCTAGCCACACAGCTTCTCTGCACCTGTAGCTCTGTGGTGGAGATCCACTCTTCCTGTGCTGTGACTCTTCATGCTACTGCTCAGGTCTGTCGTATCCCTTTACATAACGTACTTGGGGTTCGCCCCTTGTGAATTCGCCATCACTGTCCTCCTTGCACAGCCTGTGGTGACTGCCAGTGTTGTTTGAGATGGTAATTTCTGTGTTTGGATATGAGGAAGATGTATAGCCAAGCCTGACCTAACATTCAGAGGCCCTCTGGCAGTTACTCCTGTGTTTCGGTTCTGTTCAACACTCACTGTTCTGAGCTGCCCACTCCAGCAGAGTGGACGACATTTTACGTGCCCATTTCATGTGACCCTCTCCTGCCCTTGCCCTGCTGCTGAGGGCACCTGTTTGTGACTGATAGCATGTGTCCTGCATGTTGGCTAGCCAGTCCTGTGGCAACTGTTGTCAGCTACTCTCTGAACTGTCACTCTTCTCCTTGTATCCTGGTCCAGGTGGTACATATTGGCTCCTGTGTCGTCTGTGAAAGCCTTGTGTGGTGCTTGGTGAACTGAGCGGGTGATGTGTCTGTCCCCAGAGGATCAGTTTTGGGGGTCTCTGCTGTTGTCAACCACATTGCTGTGAGATTGGTCCAGGCTGTGCAGAATTGCAGTTAGCACTGCCGTCGCCATTGAAGCCCAGGATGTGCCTCCTCAGACTCTGGACTCTTCCTATTCAGTGAGGTCACACTTGGAAGAGCACAAAAGGCATATCCTGTGAAGCTGAGCTTTCCCTGGAGCCGAGTTGCAAGCCTGGCTCTCACAGGCAAATGGGGCAGGTGGGCACACTGCCCCCCCCCCCCCCTCCCCGCCCTCAGAGCACCCTAGGATAACTGAGCCCATCTAGTGTCTTCTGTGTCATGTAGCATGGGCCCTGACTGGTTCCTGCGCAGGGAGCTTGAAGTTGTGCGTCTGTCCTGCAGTTTCGGGGCCAGGAGTTCAGCTCTTCCTAAATATCCTGGGCTGGTGGAGAGAGAAAACCTCACCGGGGCACATGTTCGTGTTTCCCCCATGTGTGTTTTGAGCCCATGGAGAGGTTATCAGGCATGTCATTGTCCCTGTCCTCTTCTGTAAAGATCCATCCACCATGGCTCCTTCAAGTTCCTTCTGACATCCCAAGAGTCAAATGTCAAGGTGACCAGCTAGGAAAATGGCTTCCAGGTGCCCCCCACCCACCCGTGGCAATAAATACAACTTGGGCTTGGCCATGGGCTGAGATGCTGCCTCTGCCAAGTCACCCCCCCTTCCTGTGTTGAAGGGACATTCATCTCATCATGTCCACGTTACTCCCCAAATGTGATTTATCATAGAATCTGGGTTGTTAGCTTGAGAAAGAAAAGTGGCCTAAGAAGTTTGAGGGAAACTTGAAGGGACTTTCCCTCAATAAAACCTGGGTAAGTTCTGCACCCAGAGCTGCCTGGTCTGCCTGGGGACAGAGTAGGAACTGTGCAGGGCGACTGGGACTGTTTGCAGCTCTCCCACACCGCCTCTGGCACATGCTGCAACAGTGCTGGAGGGGCTGAGATTCTAGCCAGCTGCCCGGCTGCCCCACCACATAACCTTTTGGAGCTGTCCCTGAAGGAGGTGGCTTCTGGTGTAGAGATCCCAACTGACCATGGTGAACAATGGTTGCTTTGGCCACAAAAGAACACCCCTTTGCAGCATCCACCCTGGCAGAGATTAGCCTCTGACTTCAGGGAGGATGAATCCCCCGCCATCCACTTCCACACCAGGCTTTCTCCAGAGGCCGGAGGATGAATCCCCCGCCATCCACTTCCACACCAGGCTTTCTCCAGAGGCCTAGCTAGAGAGCCATTTCCCTAGCAACAGAGCTGGAGACCCAGAGTGGAAGTAATGGCTTCCTGGGTAGGAGGGGCTTCCTGGCCGACTTGTCACTCCAGAGCCACAGCGCCTGCTTGTCTGTCTTTGGCACCCAGAGCAAGCCCAGAAGTTGGCCTTTCCCATCAAATACCACAGAGCTAAGAACCCCAGGGGCAGGTGGGTGCAGTGCCTCAGGCTCAGGGGCAGATGAGAGGTCATGCCTAAGTACCAGCTATGAGGCATGCCTCATGCATAATTACAAAGAGGCCTATAAAAGATGTACAAATTACCACAAAGTAAGTGCTTAATTGCCTAGGAACACCAAACTCATGGGCACTGCAGCAGAGCTCATTCTCAAACCTCCGGCCACAGCTGGTGCCGCAGTGCACTGCATTGCTCTTTCCATTTGGGGGCCAGTAGAGTACCAGGTACTAACAACAGCCTCTCCAGGGCAAAGTCTGTGCAGCTCATTTGAGAAATGAGGGATTAAAATGAAGCTTCTAGGAGGTAGAGTGACCATAGAGACCATGGTACAGGGTACCCTGCCCAGTGCACTGTCTTCAGTTTTTTCCTGTCGGCCCTGGACTATCTGTTGTAGGGAGACACCCTAGCCCCGCCCCAGGCAACCCGGACAGGTGCCAGGTGGACCGAGGACTCGCCTATGAGGGCAGGGTGAAGGGAAGTCGGGGTGACATAAGGGAAGGTTCTTAAGGGCTGCACGCGGAGACCTTGGCCCTTCTCTCTTCTGCTCCCCCGACTACCTGCGCTGGTTCCAGCTCCCTCCCTCTCGCTTGATTGGTGTATGTCAATAAAGACAACCTTGGCACTATCGGAGGCGGCGGGCTGGTCACTCCACAGTCCGTTGTGGGCTGGCTAGTTTGTTCGTTTGTTGGTGGGGTGTGTGGGGTGTGTGGGTGTGGGTGTGGGGGGGGGTGTCTGTGTGTGAGTGTGTGTGTGTGAGTGTGTGAATGTGTGTGTGGTGGGGTGTGTGTGGTGTGTGTGTGTGTGAGGTGTATGTGTGTGGTGTGGTGTGGGGGTGGGTGGGTGTGGTGTGTGAGTGTGTGGTGTGTGTGTGTGGTGTGGGGTGTGTGTGTGTGTGTGTGTGTGTGTAAATGCAGTGCCCGTGCAGGCCAGAGGCATCAGATCCCTCAGCTGGAGTTATAAGTGGTTGTTGAGCCACCAGAAGTGGGTGCTGGGATCTAAACTCAGGTCTTCTGCAAGACTAGTGAGTGATCTTAACTGCTGAGCCGTCTGTCTGCACTCCTTCCTGATAATGTGAGTCTTAGGCCTGAACTGAGGTAGAAGGAAGTATGAGGCTGGGCTGCTAGAGACCCCCGGCCTCACTGACCTGTGTCACTATCATTTATTGACACTGACTAGTCTAGAACAGTGTTCAGTGCTTCCCAAGGGCAAGCCCCTGTGAGCGGGGAGGGGGTGTTCTTACCCTGCTGACCGGATACTTTCCTTAACCTGCCCACAGTAGGTGTGGATGAATGAAGCTGCTTGCCGGGCAGTGTGGGCAGTTAGGAACTGAACTCCACTTCCAAGGCTGTTCTCCCTCCTGGGCTCCAGACGCGATGGCCCCTTTCCATAGCTCCTGACGTCTTGTCATTGCATTCTTGTGACACCTGAAGCAGCTGGTGCTGTGCCTGGTCCACTTCACAGACATGGCTCACCTGCTGAGTGTGACAGCTGGGGATCTCCTGGGGACACATGCACACGCGCACACATACACACAGAGGCACAGGCACACACGCGCACACACACACAGAAGAGGCACAGGCATATATACACACACACACACACACACACACACACACACACACACACACGTGTCTGGGTCAGGATTATCCTATAGACCCCACCTGTTCCCAAATGTGTGGCTACTGTGGGCCTGCCCCCACTCCTACCCCCCACTTTACTCAGAAGGCTGGGCCCTGGCTGAGCAGCTGTGACTTGTCACTGTCACCAGTCCCCACCCCTTGGCCTCCTTGGCTGTCTCTCCTCTAGGATTTTTTCTGGGAAGAGCAGAAAGCTCCCTTCAGTCTTAGAACTCTCTCGGAAAATATGACTTGTGCACTCTAGGAGCAGACCTCTTGGAAGAAGAGGGGTCCTAAGCTTCATCTCTATTGGCCCATTGGTTAGCTAGCCCTGGCCCCGTGCCATCGTGCCACCCTGATGTCTGAGACCCGAAATGTTGCGGGCTGGTGGGCCTGGGCTCTCAGGTGGATACTCTGGGGCCTACAGAGCCAGTGAGTCTCCAGCTGCCTCCTGGGAAGTACTTTGTCATTTATTATCCTTAGAGAACTCAGCATCCAAGGAGTCCCTCCTTCCTCCGCCATGACTTCCTCCTTCGGCTGGGCCTTCATCTCCACGTTGGATGTAACTTCCTGCCCTCGGATGGTCTTATATTAATCATATCACGGTCTTCCAGGCTGACTCTATTGTCCTTGGTCCACAGGGTGAAGCCAACCCATACGGTGGTCAACTGCTGGTTCTGCAACCAGGATACACTGGTGCCCTATGGCAATCGCAACTGCTGGGACTGCCCCCACTGCGAGCAGTACAACGGCTTCCAAGAGGTGTGGGCTGGTGGTGGGTGGGCAGGGCTAAGGCTGCAGCTGAGCTGGCCTCAAGCTCACACATACCACGCCACTGTATTCTAACTGTGGTCCTGCTACCATGTGTCCCTTTGAAGAAGAGCAGGTGCAGGGAGCTGTGGCCACTTGTCGCCACAGCAGGTGGCAAGATCGGGGTCCAAGTTGAGAGCCAAGATGTTTGCAGCCCAGTTGCTGCAGACACTAAGTGTTCAGCTTCGTGGGTGGTTTGTCCTCTGTCACGGCTTTGACTACCCAGCCACCATAGTGTGTGAGTGTCTGAATGTAGCTTTTACGGAAACTTAGTAAAACAGACAGCCTACCCATAGGCCCAGCTTGCAGGCTTAGTTCTCAGAGTGTGTGGCTCTTAGGGACAAAACCAGAGTGAGGTATGTGGGCAAGGAGCACCCCAGGGCCTGCCCTGGTGCACAGCCTGGGTGGTGTCTCGGCACCTAGATGATTAGGGTTTCATGTGAGGTGCCACCTGAGGAGTACTTCTGCTCTTGTGTAAAGAAAGCCAGAGTAGGGTTGTCTGAAACCCTGGAACATCCCTGAGTGGGTCCCCACTGACCAGGAGCCCCCTCTCTTCCCCAGAATGGAGACTACAACAAGCCAATCCCAGCACAGTACATGGAACACCTGAACCACGTGGTGAGCGGTGCACCTAGTCCCCGGGACCCCACACAGCCGCAGCAGTGGGTGAGCAGCCAGGTCCTGCTATGTAGGAGGTGCAGCCACCACCAGACCACCAAGATCAAGCAGCTGGCCGCTTTCACGCCACGTGAGGAGGTGAGCATGCACAGATAGCTGTTAACCTCCTGCTGGCCCCACTTTCCAGGATGTGTGGCTTCTTCCTCAGCTGGAGCGAGCTTGGGCTCAGTGTGATCTTGTGGCCTCTGGGAGAACACCGTGGAAACCAGGGCGTGTCAGGTCAGAAGGGTTTTCCCTTAAGCTCGGCTGCAGTTTTGGGGGCTACATCCTGGTCTCATTCGCTAGTCTGTCCTGCCTAGCAGGTCATCCTGGAAGAAAGAGACAGATCCCACCTGAGGCTCAATGATGCCTAGGAAAGAGAGGGGAAATCAGGAATGAGCCAGGAGACCAAGAGGAAGAGCTATCATATGGCTTAGTGGACAAAGACGTTTACTGCCAAGGTTGTTTAAGTTTGATTCTTGGGGTTCACATGATGGGAGAGAGAACAAAGTCCCACAAATTATCTCTAACCTCCACTTACATGCTCACACATATACACTAAATAAATGAATAAATGTAACTTTTTAAAGTTTTTTAGGATGAGGCCATGAGGGAAAGATTGACACCAGGTGGCTTTCCTATTTGCCCCAACAAGAGATCACATTAACAACCATTCCCAGTGATGCCCTGGCTGGACCTTGCTGCATCTCTGAGGGAGCAAGGGATAGGACTTCATCCTGAGCTACTGTGAAACTAGAGAACCGGTTGGCTCTTGGGAACCCAGGCTCAGCCAGCAGCTAGCTCCCTGGTGTGAGGGAATGGAGTTAGATGTCAAACTCAAGGAGGAGAAGGGTGGATCCTGATCCTAGGTCTTCCTCCTGCCAGCACCCAGAGAATATCAGCTCAATGCCACACACTTGAGTGGGTCCTGCCCTACAGAATGTCACTAATGTCACTCTCTCCTAACCTCTACTAACCCTTAGGCAGGGCCAGCATCTGAACCCAATTCCCACGTGTAACACAGATCCTCTACCCGACCTACAGGGCCGGTATGATGAGGAGATTGAGGTGTACCGCCACCACTTGGAGCAGATGTACAAGCTGTGCCGCCCATGCCAGGCAGCTGTTGAGTACTACATCAAACACCAGAACCGTCAGCTGCGTGCCCTGCTGCTCAGCCACCAGTTCCGGCGCCGAGAGGTTGACCAGGCCCATGGACAGGTCTGAGGCCATGGGGCATTTGGGTGTTGAGTCCGTGTGGGAAGATGCTCTGAGAGCTGGGCTCTAGTGACTGAGACATAGCATAGCACACCATTCCTGAGAAACAGCTGCCTGGTGGCCCTTAGTGTCATTGGCTCTTCCTGACAAGAGTGGCTAGGATCATGATGATGCTGTCACACACTTTAGCCCAGTTTTGGGGTTGCCCTGCTGACTGTCCACTTTCTAGACATTCCTGCATCTGTCCTCCTGGCACTCCTGTGCTGCGTTAGGCACTGTGGCTCTGGTCACAGCTGTGGGAACCAATCATGGGGGTTGAGATGCTTAAAAAGCTACACACATGATACATAGGGGTCAGACACAACAATATGTGGCTAAAATTTAACTCTAGTTTTGTCATGGTGTGTAAGCAAATGGTCTGGGTTTTTAAATGATAATAAACCAGGAAAGGACTGTGGCTTAGTAGTGATGCACAGTCTGCAAAAGCTAAAAGACGACCCTCTACAGGCTGGCCCTGTAGGTCTGGTAGAGGCTTGTAAAAGGTAAAAGAGTCAGTAGCAAGTGCATTGCAAGTGAGGCTCGCCCCACCCTGTGCCAGAGACGGGGTCTGCGTCCACTTGGTGTGTGATTTCTGTGCTGACCATTTGGCCATGCTACTTCTGTCCCTGTTCACCTGTGTCTGCTCAGTAGGACAGGCAGCCCCTGTCCTCAGACCCTTGGTTCTTACTCTAGCTTCCTGGTTTCTAACCTGAGTAACTTAGTGGCAGAAATTTTCATTGAATTTTTATTTTATCCAGCGTTAGCTGCACATTTTAGTTGAATTCTAGTTAAGTGTCATAGGAATTTTTGATGAAAACTTGACAGTGATTGAAAAATTTGGAATAAAGTCACGAGTGTTTAGAAAGGGTTTCTGTAGAGAAGGAGCAGAGCCCCTCCCACAGAGACCACCATAGCTAGGCAGTGGCCAGGAGTGGTGTGGGGCAGTGGTGGCCTGAGCGAGCATTAAGGCAAGGGTATAAAAAACGGGACTACTGAGTATCTAGGCCCTGGCCAGCATCCCCACATGGTGGGCACAGGGGTGGCCATTGGGGCTTCTCACTGACCCATCTCTCCCTCCCTCAGAGCTTGAGCTCCTCGGCAATGAGGGCCCTCTTCCAGGTCATCCTGCTCCGTGCCCTGGCCTTCCTGGCTTGTGCCTTCTTGTTGTCCACTACACTGTATGGCCCCAGTGAACCCTTCACCACAGGGGCTGTCCTGCCCCCGGCCCTACCTCCTGGGGGCAACAGCTCTGCTGCCTCAGACAACACTACTACTCAGGCCGAGGGCTGGCAGCAGCTACTGAGCTTGTTGCCAGCGCACACCACAGAGAAGCTACATGAGGCCTGGGCCTTCGGACAGAGCCACCAGACCGGCATTGTGGCAGGGGGCCTGCTTACCTGCCTGCTGGCCATGATACTGGCTGGCCGTATCAGGTGTGTTGTGGGGCCTTGGGAATGGGTGGGCAGAGGTCTGCACACTGCATTGCTGCCTGGGGGTGGGAACCAGGAGGCCTTGCTGGTCCCCTGCTCTGAACTGAACTCCATGCAGGTAGACAAGCCTGTCCAAGTTCTCTGGGGGCCAGGAGGACAAATGGGACTGCATATGACGGTGACACTGAGGCAGTCTGCCGCAGGGCCCAGTCACCTGACAATCTCTAAAATCAAAGTGACAGAAGCCACCTGCCCCAGTGCTGCGGGAGCTCAAGTGAGGGCAGTTTCCTGCCTTGGTTCCCAGGCTCGGCGATAGGCGTAGGAGCCCAGGCTCCTTAGTGCAGGGCATCCTTGACTCATAGGATGGAAGACCCTCCCTGGCCTCACTGCCCTCTTCTCTGAGCTGGGCCCAGTGTATGTGGGGTGTGGAGCAGGAACTGGTGGGGCTCAGGGGGTGGTAGTATCCACTGGGCACACACTCATCTTGCTTCCTCCCGCAGGCTCCGACGCATCGATGCCTTCTCCACCTGTCTCTGGGCCCTGCTGCTGGGGCTGCACCTGGCGGAACAGTATCTGCAGGCTGCTTCACCCAGCTGGCTAGACACACTGAAGCTCAGCACCACATCCCTGTGCTGTTTGGTGGGCTTCACCGCAGCTGTGGCTACAAGGAAAGCGACAGGTCCACGGAGGTTCCGGCCCCGCAGGTCAGAGAAGCAGCAGTGACTGCAGCGGGGGGGAGGGGGACAGGCAATGGACCTTGTCTTTTCTTACCCTCCCCAGAGCCTTGAGTTCATGCTTACCCCTCCGTTGCTCCCAGTTACTCCCTCCCCAGTCCCAGTGCTCCCCAGGTGCCCCGTACTGCCACCGCCTCTCTTGCTTAAGACCCTTTCATAGCCCTGGCTGTCCAAACATGGGCAGACTCCTGGTGACCTGCTTCTGACCCATGGCTTCCTGCCAGCTCCAGGCGCTCCAGTCTTGTCACAGCTCTTCCCTGGCTGTCTCTGACTCCACAGGTGAGGGTGTAGACTGCCCGCTGTACCCTTGCCATTTGTTTGGCGCTGGCTGGTTGACAAGGCCATGGCCTCTTGGAGTGAGCTAGGACTAGAGCAGAGCTGCCCCCTTATCCCTTGAGCCTCCTGGTCCCTCATCCCCTCGAAGCATTGTTGCCAGTTCCCTGTTTCAAGACCTTCCTGAGACTTGTGGTCCCTCGGGGTCCTTCCCTGGGAGTGGAGACCACAGCTCACTGTGGTCAGCAGGGCCCTGCAGCCCGCCAGGCAGTAGTGCATGTTAATCCCACATTGTGCTGCTCTGTACAAACAGGACACCATGTCATTGTCACTTTGTCCCTCTCTAGCATCAGTGGCTTCCTTGGGATACTTTGTGGATGGAGGGTGAGGCTTCTCCCCTCCCTCTCTGGGGGCAGCTGCAGGCCTATGTCTCAGCCTCACCCTTCTTTCAGGCACAGCTTCCTAGGATGCCACCCCCAAAAGTCTTCCTTAGGGGATGAGCCACAGATCAGGCCCTTGCTAGCTGCATGGTTCTGACCAAACCCCTGTTGTCCCTTAGCCTTGCTCAGCCATCTGAAGTGGGAAGTTGGTCCTCCTGTAGGGCCCTGGGGCGTTGGCCTCAGTGGATTTGAGGACCACCTGAGGCAACACTTGGTGACACTGGTGGTGAAGGTGATGGCCATTGTCAAAGGCCTCATCTGGAGCATAGGCTAATGCTGTACCCACCTGGCATACTGCCCTCTGGTGGCTTCTGGTTGGACTGCACCCTCCTGTGCTGAGTCCTTACCACTTGTCTATTAACACAAATCCCACTAAGCTGCAGGCTCCTTTACCCTCTGCACCAGAGCCCAGGGAGGGCAAAAGCAGATTACACATGAATGGTGTCACATCAAACATGACCATCAGATGCTGGGTCTTTGTCAGATGGCTTCTTGGAACCCCATGGGGAGCTCAAGAAAGACACCCAGCCAGCCCTGCACCTCCCAGTGGTAAACCTGTTTGAGGGTCCTTAAAAGCCATTCTGCCCTCTGACCCTCTGTAACCAGACAGCAACCCGTGTCTTACTCGGCTTCCATGTGTGATGAGCTGAAGTGTCAGAAGGCTGGGGGCTTGTTTCTGGCAATGCAGGGCTCAGTTTGCTCTGGGTAAGGTTGTGGAAGCCCCATCTGACGAGGTGTGGGTGAGGCCATGGTTGAGATGTGGCCTGCTACTGCTGACCTTGTGGGGCACAGCTGCCTGAGAGAACAGAGAACACCTGCCTGTCTCTTTCTCCCAAGAAACTGGCCTACAGGGGGAAAAAAGATGGGACAGGTGGTAGGGCTATTGTCTGTGCGTCCTTTTGCGTATATTGTGGATCTCATTCTCAAAGAGGCTGACAGTAGGATGCTAATTTCTGTTTTCTTGACATTGAATAGCAGCAGCAGGGTGTGTGTGTTTGTGTTTGTGTGTATATATATATTTAAATTATTTATGATACATAGAGCCAGCTCTGGCCAGCCAGGATCCCTGCTAAGCATGTTGCTCCTGCCTTCTGGTGGGTGTAGAAAATATACCGCAGCAAGGACTCCTGGCATTTTAAAGAGTTTTGGGTTTTGCTTTTTAACATTAATTGTCCTTTAAAGTTTTGCTAGTCGGAGAAAGTGCCAGCATGTTCTGGTGTCGCTGGCAGAAGCTGAGAAAATGTGAGCACCCTTGGGTTGTGGCTTGTTGGCTGGGGACAATTGCCCTGCCATCCCTGGTCAGAGTGGGATCATCCCAGGTACATACAGGTTGTGTCCCTGAAAAATGCAGGAGAGACACTCGGCCGTACTCACCTCTGGGTCTGGGGTCCCCACTCTGGCCCAGCAGACTGTCCAGTAACACTTGCCCTGGAGTAAACCACCAGGACCACTCTCTTCCCTCCCCTGGCCAGCCCATCTGCCCTGCTGTGTCCTTTATCTGCCCCGGTACAAGTCTTGTGTGGTGTAGTAGAATTGTGACTAATTGTCTAGCGACCCTGATCACTGTAACCACCGCTGGCCATAGCGTCATGTTCTGAATGCTGTGTTTTCAATAAATGCCTCCTGGACCCGCTCACTCCGGTTGGCACCAGGTACCGCGTCTTTTTTTCTTTCATGATCCTTCAGAAGGGCTTCTGTGCCAAGGTGGGAGGTGGGTGGCTTTCCGGGTCACTGCATTTACACAGGATTCTGGGCTTGGGAGCAGGCTGGGGAGCTGGTGATGACAGGAATGGCTTGAGGGCACAGCTGTTCCTTTGTCTTACCAGTGTTTTTCCCATGTGAATAAGCTGGAGCTTGGTGGGTTACGAGGAGGAAGTCTTGAGGCTCCCCTCAGGGTTGGGTTAGTGAGTTCCTGCCTTGGCCTGATGGCCTTCCTCACAGTCAGGGAAACAGGAGACTGAGAGGCGGGGCGTTGGGTTCCAGGATGCAGGCATCCTGGGAGCACTCATAAAGGAGTGCTGGGCCCTATGCACAGGACGCTGCCTTGGGGACTCCCAGGGCAGAGCAGAGCTGAGGCTCCACCTTTGGGAGCCACTCATCTGATGATGCCACCTTGTGTCACAGCCAGAGGGAACAGACCTCCAAAGCCCTCTCTCACAATGCTAACATTGTCAGAGGCTTCGAGACCGGAAACATCCCCGTGCCTAGTGGCCAGGACTCCCAGGCTTGACCACCACGTGGCCCAGGGTTGAGCAGAGCTGGAGAGAACAGGGATAGGCTAGCGAAGCCCAGCCCAGCTTTTGGTGCTGACCCTCTGGGGCCGGGAGGCCATTGTCCCTGCCTGGCTGGGGCCCTCTCCATGTACTGCATCCCCACTGCTTGCTATCGACCCTTTGGGGTTGCCTAATCCAAGGTCACCTGGCTCCTGGCTGTGGCAAGAATGGGCTGGCACAGGAGGCCTAGTGTAGTGTCCTGCTGCCACCTGCTGGAAGGGTTTGGCCATGCCTATGCACCTGCTCTGAGACTGGCTGACACCTGCCACAACTTCCACACAAATTCTCAGTGGGCCCCAGTGTCTTCTTGCAGGGGCTCATACACAGTCAAGCTTGTGGTACCCAGATTCCAGCCTCACCTCTGCTGGCCCTAAAGTGCCTGAAGGTGTCCATGGGTCTCCACTGGGCCATTCCCTGAGGTCCTGCCAGACTCATTTAGGATTAATGGAAAGAGAAACCCCTTTTTTTTCTTGGTCCTGGAGATCAAACCCAGATACCCTCCCCACATCCACACACACTTGGCAAATACTCTACCACTGAGATAAGCCCCATCCCACAAAATTCAACTTTCCTGCTTAAGACAGAGCATTCCTCAGAGTCTTAGAGTGAGAAGTGGGGCTTCCAAACAGCCCCCCAAAGGAGCAAAATTAGGGTGCTCCAAGAATGCCCCACTACAGTTTTGCTGTGCCCTGATTTCCTGTGTTCCCCCAAACACTGAGCTGCAAGTTCCGGTGGCCTCACGGTCCTTTGCAAGAGACTGGGAAGGTCATCTCAGTCTCTGGGCGTTCACCATATGGCTACATATGTTTCTCTCACAAAACTGAGAAATGGGGACAGAGGTAGTGCAGAGCTTGGCTAGCAGTAGCTCCGAGCCCTCTGCCGTGACGCATGGGGACCTGGCCCTGTTCACCATGAGGTCTGACCCTGCCAGCCCATCCGTCGGCACATTTGTCCCTTGGGACCGAGGTAAGGCTGGACCGGAAGCTCCTTCCAGACGGCAGACTAATGTATTAACTGCCTCTGCCCTCTGCCCTCTGTAATCGGGTGCCTTAATCAGAAGCATGGTTGACATTCCGGCCTGTGGCCATCAGGTTCTGTTGTGTGATTTGTACTGTTCTCGAGTTAAAGAGACACTGTCACCTTCTGTCTTTTGGGCAGCTTGGTGGTTGTTTGGGGTCTTTTCTAAGATTGAGTTTGGCGTGTATGCTGTAAGAGCCTCTTCTGGGGGTCCAAGGCCTGGCCATCTCCCCCTGTGCTGCAGGAGGCAGCCTCATGAGACGTGACCCAGGGAGAGCTGTGGCAGCACCCAGCCCAGGTGGGAACCACCCACAGTATCCTTGAGTCCCACTGCCTCATTGGGAGCTTCTGGGCAAACAATGGAGGTGGCCAGAAGAGCCCTGGTCCTCTGAGCCTCACTGAGTGCCTGGTTGGGGCCAAGGGGATTGGCATGAGGCTGGCCAGGGTAACAGTGTCACTTTAATGTTGAGAATCATAGTAGAGGTAGATTGCAGTGAGTCGGCGGGGGTTGGAGGGGGCATGCTGGGTGGGGTGGGTCATGCTGGTGTCTCCCAGCCACCCGCTCCTAATCAGTGGACAACTGCCCTTTTGCTTCAACTAACGCACGCCTCCTCTGGGTCCCCAACTCAGGCCCACCTCATGCCCTGGGAGGGGCCATTGTGCAGAGGCTACTTCCAGGACCTGCCCTCCTCACTCTCCTCCTCTTTGTGCCCCGTGGGCCTTGCAGGTACTTCTCAGGAGACTCTGCCAGCCTTTTCCCCTCCAGCCCCAGCCTGGCCATGCCCTGCCCAAGCATCACGACCTCACCAGCGTCCCTGTTCATACCTACCCCACCCGGCTTCCTGCCTCTTACTAAGCAACAGCTGTTCCGATCTCCCCGGCGGGTGTCACCCTCCTCGCTGCCAGGCCGCCTCAACCGGGCCCTCTCACTGGGAACCATACCTTCTCTGACCCGGACAGGTAAGACCTTGCAAGTATTGGTGACAGAATCAGGCTGAGGACAGCTGGGCCAAGATGGTATGAAGAGGAGATGGGGCAATACCAAAGAGTTAGTTTGAATTTCAGCTAAGGAGATGGACGGGGCGGGGCTCAGGCCCAGGTGAGCCCACTCAGCAGCACATTGACCAACCACATCCCCTGTTTCCCTCCTTACTTAGAATATAGGCCTGTAGGAGAATGTTACTCATGGGTGGTTGTGTTACTTGAAATGATATATTTAAAGGGCTCAGAAAGACACTAGAGGTCCAGCTCAGTTGGTAGGGTACTTGCTTAGCGTTCACAAGGTCCCAGATTCAATCCCCAACACTACATAGACCCGGCATGGTGGTGCACACCTGTAAATCCAGGACTCTGAAGGCAGAGCTAAGAGGATCAGAAGTTCAAGGTCATCTTGTTAGTATTCAGGCATCTGCACTGGCCTGTCTGGTTCTGACAGGGTACACCCTCAGCTGCAGCCATTAAGAGCACCACCTGTGCATATTCTCTATGTTCCCTTTCAAAAGGGCCCTGCCCACCTCCCATCCTCTTCTCTTTCTTTCTCTCCCTCTCTCTGCCTTTCTCTCTTTCCTGCTGCTCCTGTCCCCGGAAGTTGGTCTCCCCCTCCTCTTTCCTTTTCACGATCCTTTTTCTTAATAAAAAGTCATTCCAGTTGAACTCTGTTGGATGGGATCTTTCTCTCTCAAGCCACTTTATTTTTTTTTTTATTATGTATACAATGTTTTGCCTGCATGTATGCCTGCAGGCTGGAAGAGGGCACCGGATCTCATTATATATGGTTGTGAGCCACCATGTAGTTGCTGGGAATTGAACTCAGGACCTCTGGAAGAGCAGTCAGTGCTCTGAGCCATCTCTCCAGCCCCTCAAGCCACTTTATTTTAATTACAACAATCTTCAACTATATAGCCAGTTTGATACCAGCTTGCCCTGTCTCCTCCCTCCCCAACCGGCCCCGCCCTGCCTCACCCACCCACCCTCCCAAAAGGTGCTCAGAGAGTGACAAGCGCCCTGGGTGGTCTCAGTATATGAATGCTCACTGAGTTTTACTGTTTTCTCCCTATCTTACTGGAAAACGTGTGCCTGAAGGGCAAAGATTTTGTTCCTGTCAGTTGTGTTTGTTGGTGCTGGTCTTGGGGAGCCTGAAGAGACCAAGCCCCAGCCCTGTCTGGAGGGATTCTGTCTTGCCCCTCTCCTTCCTGGTAGAACCTGCTAGGAAGGTTGCTCATTTTGTTCTTAAATTGAGACAGAGAGGGGGCGCAGAGGGAGAAGGAGAGGGGCGCAAAGGGACCAGATCATACATGTAAGATCAGGTCATCTAGCCTGTCCATATGGCTTCTATCCATTGAGTCATCTCGCCAGCCCGATATCCAGTTTTAAACAAGCTTAATCCCAGTGTGTTAGTGACAATTCTCACTGGCCTTTGGGAACCTCCCTGAGTTTGCCTCAATCTCAGGAGTGTCCTGTGGCTTTCTGGGTGTCGAATGAGCTTCAGGGCATAATGTGGGTACATCTTGGTTCACCCCCTTTCTTCTTTATCTAACAGTGCTGGGCTTGGTCATTTAGCCAGGCTTCCACTTAGACCCTCAACAACTTCATCAGAACCCCGGGAGCCCCAGTCTTTAGTGACTTGCTCAAGGTCCCCCTGCCATTGGATGTGAGCCTAGCTGCCAGGCCCGTTGGTGCAGGCTGCTTCTCGACCCGCTTTGTTCAGGTTGAGTGTTCTCCCTGCGGGACATGTGGACACCGCAGCAGGAGTTAGCATTTGAGCTAAGCAGGGACATGGTTCCAGCCTTGGAGTAATGAGTGGAGATGGGAATGTCCTTAGTGTGGAGGTTTGGGTCACCCTGTGTGCCAGGTTCTCTTGAAAGAACAGTGCCAGCCTCTCTCCTGTTCATCAGAGCAAGTGCCATGCTCTCCACAAAGCTTGAGGGCCGTTGCAGGCAGTCCACAGCTAAAGGTGCTGCTGACAGGTCTCTGTCGGCTGTGCAAGTGACAGCTATGGTCAAGTGACAGCTATGGTCAAGTGACAGCTGTGGTGTGGAGTCCTTAGAAGGACCTGATCAGGGAAACCTACCCCTAACTCTAACACTAACCCTAACCCTACCCTAAACCTAACCTTAACAATAAACCTAAACATAACCATCAACCTAACCCTAAAGCAAACCCTAAGCCTAACACTAAAACTAACACTAACTGTAACTCTACCCATAAACCTAACAGTACCCCTAACCCTAACCGTGACTGGATGGCAGTACCTGTTTCCATGAAAGCATGCAGTACTGTGTGACAGGGACGTGGAGGCAGAGGGTGGTGGCTGTCACCCTCAGGTCTGGCTATGTTGCATTTCTCTTTTGCCTAGACTCAGGATACCTGTTCAGCGGGAGTCGCCCACCATCTCGGGTATCTCCACCTGGGGAGGTTTCTCTTTCAGGTAAGGAGAAGGAGAGCTGGCAGAAGGGCCTGGAAAACTTTGCAGGAACCCCCGAGGCAGGTTAACTGTGAGCTTTGGGGGCAGTGGAACTGTGTTCTAGTCCTAGGCAAGAGTTGAACATGGATGCCTAGATTTTCTCTGATGTGAAGCTGGGGTCAGACAATATCATGCTTTGCTCACAGATAGAGCCAGGTGCTAGTTGCAGCCCTAGGAGGTCAGGCCAGCTGACCTCAGAGCAGATGCCAGTCTGCCCCTGCCAGGGCCCGGCTCAGCCCAGGGAGGTCTAAGAGATACAAGGCTCCCTTACGACATTCCAGCCCTCAGGCCCTGCTCCCTCAGGTGTCTGCAGGGTTTCCCACCATCCCCAGGCTGCGCCTTACCCTTGGGGAGCCCCGGGTCCCGGTGGTGGGGGCAGATGTCGGTGTCCATGTGCCCCTGTGACACTTGTCCCTCCCCCGCTCTGCAGATTACTTCTCTCTGCTGTCGAGCAGCTTTCCCGCTCCCCCTCTCGCTTCCCCAGCACCTTCGGTGGCCAGCTCCATGGCCTCCAGCTCTGGCTCCCTGCGCCACCGCAGGCCCCTCATCAGCCCTGCCCGGCTCAACCTGAAAGGGCAGAAACTGCTACTCTTCTCACCCCCGGGGGAAGCGCCCAATACTCCCAGCAGCTCGGAAGAGCACTTGACACCCAATGGCAGCCTCTTCATTGAGCCTCCTCAGCTCCCCCAGAGGAATTGCACACGGGACACCAAACACAACATGGGTATGTGTGGGCCTGAAGGGTGTGTGTAGTAGGTACTGCCATGGAGTGCTTGGCTGATCCCGAGGTCATCTGGCACTGTGGTGGGGTCTCTGTAGTCACTTTGTTTTGTTTTGTTTTGGTTTTTGGTTTTTTTTGGGGGGGGGTGTTTGTTTGTTTGTTTGTTTTGTTTTTTTCGACGACAGCGTTTCTCTGTGGTTTTGAAGGCTGTCCTGGAACTAGCTCTTGTAGGCCAGGGTGCTCTCAAACTCACAGAGATCTGTCTGCCTCTGCCTCCCAAGTGCTGGGATTCTCTGTAGTCACTCTTAAGCACCGGACTGCCCAGTGTGATTCAGTTGACCTTGAACCCTCTCCAATGGGTGCTTTTACCCTTTGTTCTTTAGAAGTGGCTTTCAGGGTCCTTATTTACTGGTACTTTGGAAAGCCTGTGTGATTCAGTTGACCTTGAACCCTCTCCAATGGGTGCTTTTACCCTTTGCTCTATAGAAGTGGCTTTCAGGGTCCTTATTTACTGGTACTTTGGAAAGCCTGTGTGCACTGTCGGCCTGTGCCTGTCAGGGGCGCTTCTATTGTCTACCAAGCATTTTTAAAAGCTAATTGGACTCTGTTAAAATTTAGACTTTGACTAGGAGTGTGTGGCTTTCTTGGGTCTGTAATGTGGGTAGATTTGACCACATGGGCTAAGCGGTGTTGAGAGAAGAAGATAGGCAAATGGTCTGTGGCCCTGAAGCCACTCTGGTCCTCAGCCTCAAGCCTCAAGCCTCACTGCCTCGTGGCACTTGGTGGTGCCAGTTAGCACTTGAGTGCTGCCCTGACCTCAGCACAGGGTTCAGATGAGTCCCTGGCCCTCTGCTGCTCAGAGGTGAGCAGTTGGGACTTGAGGCCCTTGTCCTAGGACAGAAGCAGAGCTGCTGGGATGCCCTGGGGTTGAGCTGAGAGCACAGCCGGATCTCTCCCCTCTGTAGACATGAGGTCCATGCTGGCGAGAGACGGCGCCGCCTGCAGCAGCCACTCCATCAAGAAAGAGGATGACTCGTCACAGTCCTCCGCCTGCGTGGTTGACACCACCACCAAAGGGTGCTCGGAGGAGACTGCTCCCTGGAAAGGTTTGTGACTTGGTAGGAGCTCAAATTCCAGATGTTCGGTGGCCACTGAAGACATCCAGGATGGCACTTCTCTGGAGAGTCTCAGTGTGGTAGCCAGTTGTGGGCCTGGGTACTCTAAAGGCTTCCTGTTTGGGCCAGAGTGCCACCAGCCTCCTGGGTTGGTCCTGGCTTACTGACAGATGGGCTGTGAGACCGTCAGTGGATCCTGGTGACCTCCCCCACATGGGGGAGACCGGACACTGGTAGTAGAAGGAACAGGTCAGCAAGTGAGATTTCTTGGCTGGGAGCCAGTACTGCCCCTGAATTGGATCTGGAGTGTGGTCTGGTGACTTTGGGGCCATGATGAAAAGACCTGGGACCTCATTCTACTTTGGGTTATTATGTTGTTTTTAAGCAAGGTCTCCTGTAGCTCAGGCTGGCTTTGAACTCACTAAGCTGAGAATGCCTTTAATCTCCTTGTCTGCTGCCTCTGTCTCCCCAGTGCTGGGCTCATAGATGCATGCCACCATTCCCAGCTCTGAGTCTACTTTTTAATCTCTGAGACTTGAGCAGGGTAGTCCCCATAAGCCTCCATTTCTTCTTTTGTAACATGGATATTTTGGTTGCCCCCTCGTTACCTGGGTAACTGTCACAGACAGTCTGACCTAAGGTCCATGTGGTCACACAGGTTCTGGAAAGATATGCCTTCAGAGAAGCAGGGCTAACCAGAACCCTGGGATGTCCCCAGGTCCTCCATGCAGGGAGGACTTTCCTGGAGGGAAGACTAGATGTGGCCTGGCCAGCTGGGGTAGGTCTAAGCACCCAACATAGATTTGGGGTGCCAGCCACACTGCTTCTGACTTGTGTCCTGCTTACAGCTCCTGTTGGCCCTTCTCTTGTCCGGGGCCTCCTGGCTGTGAGCCTGGCCATCAATGCCCTCTTCACCTCAGCCTATCTGTACCAGAGCCTGCGCTGATCTCCTTGAGTGCCCTCGGGAGGGCACTCTCCAGGTGCATGCTGCTTCCACCACTGCCGCTCAGATCCCTCCCTGAGGGGCTCTGTCTCCGCCTTGACACCAGGGCCCTTGACCCCCCTGGTTTGAGTCCCTGACCTCAGGATACCTGCTGTCCCCCCCAACAGACTGCAGACATCAGCTGTGTTTGGTGCTGACACTCTGACCCTGAAGCCAGGGATCTCTGACAGCTGCAGCCAGGGCCAACCGGGCTGCCTCTGCCCTACTGCTGGCTAGTGAGTCACATCTTCCTCTGCTCCGAGACACCAGAGGTCTGCCTCAGAGCCCCGCCAGAAACCCACATGAAGAAGGCCCCTGAGAGAAGCCTGTGGAAACCTGAATCACTTCATCCTTGCACCCGCCCACTCCAGGGAGCAAGCCTCCCTGAAGCCCACCTTGCCCCTGACTGTTGGCTCCCACCAGGGCTGAGTAGGTGGGGAGCCTGGGGCTACATTAAGTACCTGTGTTCTCTTTCCCTGACTCCTGACTCACACACCTGTTTTGTGACTTCGGTGACTCTCAGCAAGTAGCCCCGTTGCCCGGAGAGCACCAGCACCACCCGTGCCCATTTGTCTAAGCCTCTCTCACGTCATCCAGAGTCCTGGCCTGGCCTGTCAGTGCCAGGTGAGCCGCACAGTTCAGATGAGACTCCCCACACCGAGACCCCTTTCTCCTTCAGTCCTGAGGCCCTACTAGTCTCTCCTTCATCCTGCCCCCACCTCTGTCCCACTGACCTCTGACTCCAGCCACCTCAGCTGGTCTCCGTGCCCAACCACTGCCCTGTTGAGGACACTGCAGACTTGTGGAGCTCATCTGTCCCATGAGGAAGGAGGGACTTTGGCCTAACACTGGGCCTTTCCATACTGTGTGGTGACATGTGCCTGTGGGGTGAGTCCCATCCCCCAACCCAGGCCTTGACCCCAGGAATGTGTGTATGTGTGTGTGAGTGTGTATATGTGTGTCTTTGTGTTACATCACTTGGGATTTATTGTGGGGGAGGGGCATGGGGCAGGGAAGGGTCTTCACTGTCATTCAGGGATAAAATTTAACTTTATTTTTCTACACATTTTTTGCCAGGTGAGGCATGTGCTTTGAAACAGATGCCCCCAGCTCTCCCTGCCAGGAGGCTGCTTGTTAAGCTTGGGTGCTCTCTAGTGTTCTTTTCTTTCTTTTTTACTGTAGGGAAGGAGGCCTGACCTGACCTCCACACTCCTATCCTAGGAGCTCTTGATGACATCCTGGGTTGTCTCACACCCCAGCATGTGGGCAGTCAGGACAGTGTCAGGACTCCATGAGTCCAGCTGCCACCAAAGGTTCCAGCTTGGGGGTGGCACTTGTATAGTGTCTGCATTTGTATAGTGGGTGCATCAAGTTTAAATATATTTTTTTTCCCCCCGGCCTAATGAAACCAAATTGTTCCCCAGCATCCTGTGTCCTGCCCTGAGAAAGCGCCTGGGAGAAGCTGTGGCCCCTCCCTCCCAGCAGGCCAGCCTGGCACTCTGTGCACCCACAAGGGGCTTCTATTTACATTTTGATTCACACATAAAACATGTTATTTTTCTTTACAAAAGCAAAAAAAAAAAAAAAAAAAAAAAAAAAAAAAAAAACCTGAAACAAAAAACCATGCCAACCTTTGACTTGTACCAGGCTATGCTTTCTTTCATGGCTGTCTGGAATCGCTTCCCGGAAGAAAAGCACCCATCCCAGGGTGAGGTGCTATGTAGCTCCTTGGTTCAGAGAATCCATGGAGCCCTGGTTCTTGAAGGAGTGAGCTAGGAGCCAAGCTGTCCTGCTGACTTATGTGTGCCCAGACGCCTGTGAGCACAAGAAATTGATGGTGTGCATGGAGAGTGTCACACACACCTCCCCTGCCTCAGGCTAAAGAGACCGTCTGGAGTCCTTTCTGTTGCTGTGACAGGCACCATGACCAAAAAGCACAGGAGAGGGGAAAGGGTTTATTTAGCATATCGTTCCAATCACGACGATAGCTTGAAAACGGGCTTGCATTGCCAGTCCACATAGCCATTACCTCTGACCAAGGAACTCTGCGGATGGAATTGGGTGGAGACCATGGGCAGAGCTGCCAGCTGACTGACAGTCTCAGCTTTATACCATTCAGGACCCCTGCCTAGGGACTGGTGCTCCCCCTAGTAGGCTGGGCTCTTGAGGCTACATCAATTAAAAAGGCAATCCACAGATATGCCCACATTTGAGTCTCATCTATGGATTTCCTCAATTGAAATTCTTTCCAGATTAATTCTAGGCTGTCAAATAGACAGAGCTAACCAAGACCACCGGCCAGCAAATGGCTCATTAGCCCTGTGGATCTCCTGGCCACTGAGCTCAGAACCTGCTGGCACAGAGTGGAGCAGTGCCTAAATTCTGCCCTGACAACCCTTAAAAAGCCCGTGCCCTTTCCTGTCTCTCCCACCAGACCCATTTCGCATTCCCAGTGAGATCAAGCATTTACTGTGGCCACTTGATTATTTCTGAGCTGGGCCTGTGGTGGTTTTAATCAGACAAAGCCTGTCCTGGCTAAATATCGGAGGCCTTCCCTAAAGCAGCCTGCATCTTACCCCTTACTGTGCTGGAGCCTGTGGCCCCACCTTCACCAAGGCTGTTTCCTCCTGTCTCGAAATTCCTGTCCTGATTGCTACCCTCTGCCTTTTGAAGGTGTATTATACAGTTCCTGGAGCCCAGAGTGGAAGGGGATAACTGACTCCACCAAGTTGCCCCCTGACCTCCACTTGTGTGTGGTGGCTTACTTACACCCAGACACAAAATAGTGTTAAAAAATTCAAGGGCCAGTGAAATGGCTCAGTGAGTAAAGGGGCTTGCCACCAAGCTTGGCAGTTTGAATTTGATCCTGGAACTCACACGATAGAAGCTGCAAGGTAACCTCCACCCATGAGTGTGTATGCTCTAGCAACAAAGTTTTTTAAATTTAAGCTTTTGCTTTTGCTTGTTAATTAAGGTGAGGTCTCTGGTGGCAGAATCCTGTAATCCTTGCACTGGAGAGATGGAGACCAGAGAACAGGGAGTTGAAGGTCAGCTGTGTAGTTTCATGCCAGCCTGAAAGAGACCCAGAAAGTTGAGAAGCTAGCTCTCTGTTCTCCCCTCAGTTCGTTCAAAAAGACATTGAGGCTGGGCCTAGTGGATCACACCTCTGATCTCAGCACCCTGGAGGCTGAGGCATGTGGTTTACCTTCAGTAGACCAGCCTGGACTACAGATGTACACGCCTTTAAACCCAACACTTGGCAGACAAGAGGCAGGCAGATCTCTGAGTTGGAGGCCAGCCTGGTCTACAGAGTGAGTTCCAGGACAGCCAGGGCCACACAGAGAAACCCTGTCTCAAAAAACAAAGTGGGAAGAAAGCGTATGCTGCAGCCTCCCTGCAGACACATGCAGGGGAGGGGAGGGGAGGGGAGGGTGGCGGCAGCTAGGCAGAGAAGATGAGGAGGAAGCCCTGTATCATCTCGTTGAAATCAGGGACACCGGGCACTGTTGTGCCCTCCAAGTAGAGGATGCTGCCTGCATCTCAAAGGACGGCAGCTAGGCAGAGAAGATGAGGAGGAAGCCCTGTATCATCTCGTTGAGATCAGGGACACCGGACACTGTTGTGCCCTCCAAGTAGAGGATGCTGCCTGCATCTCAAAGGCTAAATGTTTGGCGTCCTTTAGAAACAGGCTGGACACGGGAGCGAACCTGTGGCCCTAATAGTCTCACACACCCCTTAGGTGCCAGTGCGCAGTGAGTGGCGGGGAGAAGTGGTGCCCGTTTGTGTTTCTGTCGCTACAGCAGAGAGGAAATAGGAGGAGGGCAGGCAGGCTCGATGAGGAGGTGGAATGGGAAACGCTATGGGGAGGGGGCTCTGGAACCCCCTAGAGAGTGGCTGGACGTCGGCAGGAGGGGTAGGGGTGGGTACGGGTGCCTCCGGGGGTGAGGAGGGAGAAACGGGAAGGTGTGTGCCAGGGCCATTCTGGCCAGCACCTACGAAGGGGACGCAGTCTGGATGGTGTGTCGCGTGCAGTGTGGGAAGTAAGAAATAGGAAGTTTGGGGAAGAAGGAACCGGTTTCAGAAAAAAACAAGCCTCGCACGCCAGCACCTGCTGCAGTCAGCGGCTCGGCCCTTGTATGCCCCGCCCCAATGGCAGACGCCGGAGGGAAAGGGAATTCTGCACTGGCTGCAGGAAACGCCGCTTAAGCACATAGCGTGCCTTTAGTTCCTTCCCGGCAGGCAGATCTCGGTGAGTTCGATGTCAGTCTGGTCTAGAAAGCAAGTTCCAGGACAGCCAGAACTGTTACACAGAGAAACCCTGTCTTGAAAGAAAAAACAAAACAAAAGCAGGCACACCGGGTAGGCCTGCTGAGTGATGAGCTGTGCCACCTGCAGTACTACACATGGCCACTAGGGGAGTCCTGGTACTTCCCTGGAACCCGAGTCCCAGGCCCAGAGGAGAGGCTGTAGATCCCAGAGATGGACCGTGCTCAGCCCTCACACGTGGGAGAACCCACCTTAGCCTCCACCTCAGGGGCAGTCTCCAGCCTCAGACAGTCTTCCTGCCGAGGTGGGGGCTTCACAGGGATAAATGGGATAGGCAGTTTGTGGGCACTCAAAGCTGACGGACAAACTTGAGAAGCCCTGCACAATGAGCAGGGGCCAGCTGAGCACAAGCCTCCAACAACAGGCTTAGATCCCAACACTGGGCCACTGAGTGCTGTGTGATCTCAGGCGTGCAGCTGGGTTTCTGCTGCCATCTCCCTGCCTTCGAGATGGGGTATAATGTTGTCTCAAAAGACTGGTATAAGAATTAGAGCAGACGGCTGGGTGGTGGTAGCTCACGCTTTTAATCCCAGCACTCGGGAGAGAGAGGCAGGTGGATCTCTGGGAGTTCGAGACCAGCCTGGTCTACAAGAGCTACTTCCAGGACAGCCTTCAAAGCCACAGAGAAACCCTGTCTCGAAAAAAGAACGGGCAATGATGAACCAAGCGTAGTTGAGAGGCAGAGGCAGGAGGATGGGAAGTTCAAGGTCATTTTTGGGTGCACAGTTTGAGGCTAGCCTAGGCTACATAAAACACTATCTCAAAAAAAAAAAGAATATAATAACATTAAAATAAAAAGAAGCAGGTATTTGGTTCTCACCAAGAGTTGGGACTATTCTAAGCAGTTATACATTTCTTTCTTTTGGTTTTGTTTTGTTTTTCGAGACAGGGTGTCTCTGTAGTTTTGAAGCCTGTCCTGGAATTCACTCTGTACACCAGGCTGGCCTCAAACTCACAGAGATGCGCCTGCCTCTGCCTCCCCCAGTGCTGGGATTAAAGGCGTGTGCCACCAACACCCAGCCCATACTAACTCTTTATATTTCCCTTCTACATGGGGATCAGGGGCCAAGTCTTTTCTCAAAAGGAAAGTTGGGGCCTCTCATAATGCCTACCTTCCCTACTGGTTCTGAATGCTGCACACAGCTGAGGTAGACTTCATCCAAAGAGGGTAGGGAAGAGGTGACATGGCTGAGGTTAGCTGCTGGTTAGCCCTACCTGATTCTGGTTCCAGGCCACCTTAAGAGGGAGCAGAAGCCTGGAAAGGAAGCAGAGCCACCCAAATGGTATGCACTTTTGGCTAGACATCCTCGGGAGCCGCCGTGGTGAGAGGTACCTGATGGGTGTGGATGAGTGGAGGTCAGAGGTACGCCAGGCTCTTAACCTTGGGGACTTTCTGGGCTGCAGGGCCTCCTTGGGAAGAGTGGCCAGGACAGGTGGACCCAGGAAGCTGGTGTTTAGATGTGCTCTGCTTGAGGGCTCTGTTAAATGTTGGGGTGTCTGCAGGTTGCTAGGGAAATGGAAGTGATGGTCAGGGTGTGAAAGTGGCAAAGGGGAAGATGGGTGCTGCTAGACGAGGCTGGGTGGGCATGGCTCAGGAGAGCAGGGTGATCCCAAGGCCATGACGCCTCAGGGCTCTCAGGCAGGGAAAGGTCTGCTAGTAGGACTCTGTGAGGAAGGTCGCCAGAAGCCTGGCTTCTTGGCTGGGAGTGGGACAAGCAGTAGTGAGCTGTACCCTCATCATCTTATTCAGGCACACCCCCTTCCCGCCTTGAGGGCTCAGCCTGATTGTGCCATCAGAGCATATAACTGACCGACGGGGCTGCCTGAGCTCTGGCATAGGAAGGAAGCACCTGAAGTCCCTGGAACTCTGAGCTCTTTGCTCTCTCATCCTGCCAAGAACCCATATAGCAGAGCTTGTGTCTGGAAGGCTTTGCCTCTGCTCCTTCCTCTGGGTGGCATCCCCTTCCCGGCTCCAGCAGAGACGGGGCCCTGACCCTCAGGTAGACACAGCTCAGGAACTGGAGTCTCAGGCCCAGCTCCTCAGTGCCTGCTCCCCAAGTCCTGAGATGGACCCAGAACCAGCACCCCTGCCCTGCCCTACCCCACCCACTCACAGGCCTGGAACAAAACACACCACAAATAGAAATCAAAGTCTGAGAAGAGAGCCAGGAGCCGTGACCCCGCTGTGGGAAACGCTGGGTAACCCTGGCCAGGCATGAGCTTCTCGGGTCTGTTCTGGAAACTGGACAGTGAGGTAAGATGTGAAGCTGGGCACAGGTGTGGTGTGTGGTCCCCAAATGAGGCCCTTCACACAGGGCCATGCCTAAGCCCACTGTGTGCCCAGTCTGTGCCTGCGTGCGTGTGCATGTCACCCAGGACCTTCTGCACTCCCTTTCCTATAGGGCTGTGGTGTGTGGGGGTGGAGTGGGGGTGTACAGCCACGGTTACCTGGGAACTTCTCACCTCTGCTCTGGTCTCCACTTCCTGTTTTTCTCCCCCAGTGAATTCTGCCCCTGGTGTTTTCATCAAGGGACTGGGGTGGAGGTGAAGGTCAAGGCCGCTGGGGAGGGAGCCTAGGGGGTCAGTTGAGCCAGCTGTGGGGCTGGCTAGAGAGGTGGGCTTGGGGCTAGTGCAGACATGATCAACAGGCAGCTGGACTTCTCTCTGTGGCCTCTCCCTAAAGCTGAGTCTCTTCCATTCAAGAACTGAGCTTAGGGTGCACTGGCCCAGGACCTTCCCTGGAGACACAAAGGGCTGAGAGACCACTGTGGAAAGACAAGAGAGGTGGCTCAGCTGGTAAAATACATGATCTGAGCTCTGTACCCAGAGCCACATAAAAAGCTGGGACCAGTGAGTGATGCCAGTGCTAGGGAGGCAGGGACACACAGATTCCCTAGGCTCTCGGATTGGCCAGCCAGCTTGGCTGAATTGGTGAATTCCACATTCAAGGAGTGTCCTGTCTCAATAGCTAAGGTGACGAGAGATAGGGGAAGATGCCGGAAATGGACATTTACACACACACACATACACACACACACACACACACACACACACACACACACACACACACGACTACACAAGCAAATCCAGTCTCCGTGATGTCAGGGGTGAGCACTGGGCCCCATAATCAGCCACTGAACGCCAAGTCCAGCTTGAAGAGCAGGGCAGAATTATCCCTGTAGTAGCTGGAGGTGGCTGTGTCCTTTAGTCTTCATATTCATTGACTACGGTCCACAATCAAGCCATTCAAGATTACATCATTCATTCACCCATTCATTCGGTAGCAACTCTACATACTCACTGCCAGTGCTGTTTGGGTGCCAGGCAGAGAGCAGGCAGGTGACTAAGGAGCCCGTCCTGATCCAGGCAGGCCCTTGTTCCTAGGGAGCAGCCCAGCCAACAATACCCAATCACAGCTCAGTAGACTGAGGGCTGCAAAGCAAGGACACAGCCAGAGGCCATGTGGGGTCCCTGTGGGCAAGGGTCAACTGAGTAGCATCTAATTCTCCTGAGTAGTCAGTTGCTAAGAGGGGTGCTCCAGACAAAGGGGTCAGCCTGTGCAAAGGCCCAGAGCACACGGCGAGCCTGGGAAGATCTGAACCTTCAAGTTTCCATTTGGGGC